CTGCCGCCTTCTTGCACCACTTGGAATTGGAATCGCACGCAGGCCGGAGGCAAACATAGGGCGTCAGGTAATAAAGCTGAAAGACCCACTGCCACGGCAAGAAGCATCTTGTGTCGTCTACAGGTTCTGGTGCACTTGCGGACAAAGCAACTGTATCGAAGAAACTGGCAGACTTCTGAAGACGTGAATTGCTGAACACGCGGCATTACTGCGGCGAAATGATGCCAATTCTCTTGATGCGGCTCATTGGACGAGACCCGGCCACACATTCGAATTTGATGAGGCCGAAATTCTCGCAAGAGGCGACAATCGGGTGAGCCGAGAAGTACTTGAGTCATGTTTCACGGGCCCTTCAATCCATAAACAAGTGCAACGATTTGCGCAATCCATATTTGGTGCTGAGGCTCAATTTGTCCAAAACAAGTGGCCACTTGGGGAACGGACAGGCCACTGCGTCGTCTTACGCCAACAGCGGAGAGCCGAATAGCCGAGCAATCGTCACGCCCGAGTCCGCCATGCGTGATGAAAGTTCAACAAGTTAGAGGCAGCTGGCCGGTCGACAAGCTATCAACACAAAAGAAGGCAATTATCGTAAATTGTCGTTGTATGTTTGCAGTAATGGTTGTGCCCTATTAATGCTTTAAACCCCTGTGCATGTATTAATCGTTTCCGCTAGTGCTTCCTGCCTATGTCTCTGATGAAGAATCCGCGACGGGTCTCGAAGCGTCAGGTGAATAAAATCGTTGTCCCAGCGATTGAATCTTCTTCTTCTTATTCTTCTCAATTATTCTGTCGTACGTTTGAGTAAACTGATTAGACACTGATGTCCTCCATGCTGGTTCGAAAGATTTAATGGACATTCTTCGTCTTGCAGAAAGTATCTTTGCTGCAATTGATTAAATCCGCATGTTACTATCGCAGGGGGTTAAGGTGAGCTTAACCCAGGAACTGCGATCTTCTGACCATGGCTACTTAGAAGAGGAGAAGTCGTTAAAGGCCAGAG